AGGAAGGCCTATACCAAGAAACTTATTATCTGTGTGGACAGGTAGTGTCAGAATGAAGGGAAGAACCATTGTCTCCATTTGATACTAGAGAACTGAGATAATACAAATTCATTGATTAGTCCAGGCAGGGGATATGTAGCAGAGCTGGGATTTGGGACAGAGCTCCGAGATCCCAGTCAAACCCCTTAATCACACAGCTATCTTTCCTGCACCCCTCTCCAGGCCCAATGCATTCCACTCCTTTCTGCAGCACCAGCTCCAGTCTCTAGCTGAAGTTGGAGTTGCTAGAATTAATGGCATGTTGCTGTGTACTGCAAAAGCAAAAGATTAATCCACCTCCCCTTACAGTAAAATAACAGGTGTCTTGCAGGCATAAACCAAACTTCAGTTCTTCTTTACAAAACACATCTTTACTAATTCTTAAAATCACTTTTGAGGCTTTTACATGTGGTTCCTTACTCCCTGTGCCAGCAGGTGGGAGAGGAAGCATCCATAAATCCTGATCATTCTGAAGATTTTTGTATATCCTCTAGACTCCAGCGTTGAATCTCTTTTTTCTCCCTTGAGCTAATGCTCCAGTAGCTGCGTCTTGACTTTCAAATATATTAACTGAGTTGCCAATCATCATTAAATTTTTTTTCTTAGCAATCTTCCAGCTTTACTTCAGCAATCCTCTTGTCTCTTTCAAACTCCAAAATCCACATTGCAGAAAAATCACTGTTTAGGTGCTGAATTTTGTGGAGGGGGAAAAAAATGCCAGTCCCATGACTGAAGATTCACTCAGTCTCAGGCCAGCCTTTTCCCAGCTTTCCCTGGAATGCAAATGACTTTTAGTCTGTGAAACGGTGAGGAGAATTTCCTATACATTAGGCACTTGTGACAGTTGAACCAACTTACTGGATACCCTAGGGGGTTCTTCAGGCTATCCTTGCAGAAGTTTGAGATGATCTCTAACTAAAAAACAAGTAGTGAAGCTTTCTTTTTCCTTGAAGATTCAGCTTGCAGAATAGAGTAGGGCACTGACTAGGCCTGGGGAGAATGACCTGTAAAACACCTGGATTAGCAGGTCTATGTGCAGGAGGCAGTGGCCCAGGCCTGCAATGTTGACTATGGGGTGGAAGACAGGTTTAGGAGATCGGAGATGCCAGTTCTCATTCCAGTTCTGCCACTGAGTCACTGATGTCAATAAATCAAGTTCATGAATAGCTAGCAGGAGCACAATTTGCAGATGAAAGAAGAGGATTTGAGTCTAGAATGGAGTGACACGCTTTGCAACAAGTCCATGTAGAGCTCTTCTGAATGTTGCAAGACCAATTTTCCCAAACAAAGGTTGATTTCTAACACTCACCATGATTTGATCTCTTGCATGACTTAATATGCGGCATGCCTCGAAGAAAAATGCAAACTATTCTTAGTAACAGCTTATTCATCCCCAGATGTTATTGTGCTCTAGGGTGTCAGCTACCTGTAACATTCCTCCCTGTCGTGTTTGCAGCTGGGATAGAGTCAATTTCCTTCCTAGCAGCTGGCACAGTGCTGTGTTTTGGATTTAGTATGAGAAGACTGATGTTAACACACTGATATTTTAGTTGCTGCTAAATAGTGCTTTCTCTAAACCATGGGGACTTGTCAGTTCCCCATGCCCTGCTAGTGAGGAGGTGTGCAAGAAGCTGGAGGGAGCATGGCTGGGACAGGTGACCCAAATTAGCCAGAGGGGTATTCCATATCACAGAGCTGTGAGTATGCTCAGTATATAAACTGGGCCAGGAGGAGTAAATTAATGCTGGAGACAAGGTAGGCATCACTCAGAGGGTGGTGAGCAATTGTGCATCACTTCTTTCTCTCGCATTTTATTTCCATCTCTCTCTCTCCTTTTCATCATCATTTCTACTACTACTACTATTATTATTACCATTATCATCATCATTATATTTTGTTCAATTATTATTATTATTATCATTATTATTATTATTATCCCACAATTTAATACTTTTTTTTTCTGATTCTCCTCCCCATTGCACTGGGCTGGGGGAGTGAGCAAGCAGCTGAGTCATACTTAGTTGCCAGCTAGGTCAAACCACAACACTCTGAAACCCCAAGTCCAGCAACTCTGGACAAGGATTCGAGCACAGAAGTACTTCTTCACAGTCTCAGGGCTTAGATGTGTGGCAGTATGTTTTCAAATGCTGGGGCTGGAATCCATCCTCTTTTTCTCAGGGTGATTAATAGGTTTATCTTCAGATATCCTAGAGGAAAGTTTTCATTCTAACTACCTAGCTGTGAGATGTGATGCACTCAGTGTGTTTTCTTCTAGGAAAGAAGAAATTATGCTGGGAGATTCCTGAAACTGTGCTTTACTGAGACAGAATGAGGTCTTAGAACCCATTCTAAATTGTTGAATTAATTAAGCCTTTTTGTACTAGCAGTGACTTAACCAGGTGGGCCACTGAAAAAAAGACCTGACACGGGTGTTGAAGCCTGAGGGAATCTCTGCCACTTATTACAGCTTTGGGGCTGTAACTTCCCAGCAGTCTTGCTCATGCTGTCGAAAAGGGCAGGCTGAAAAATAATGTCCTCAAGAAAATTGTTGGAGTGGCAGAACACGCATTGCAGAGCTCTGGAACCATACAAATCAATTAATCATGTCTCATTGCTTCAGCTACTTTTGGGTTTAGACTTTTAAAACTTTATGTGTGCATGCTGTCCTTGAATTGAAGAGGCACAAGAGCTTCATGTTATTCAAGTCTTGCTCTTCCCAAGAAAGTTCTTAGGATTTTTTTTTTTTTAAAAGGGGTTAAAAATGAAGAAAGTGACAATGTTTTCTTACTGTGCAAGATGGTTTCTTTGTGACAAAAGACTCTTTAAAGACATTCTTCATACAACAGAAGTTACTGTGAATACAAATAGCCACTCCAGTGAGATAAAGTGGTGGTTCTGGAATGATGTACTTAGAGAGGAAAAAAAAAAAGAGAAGGCAGCTAACACAAATAGTAATTTTAAAAAACATCAGAAGAAGGAAAGAAGAATCACATTTCTGTACAAAAGAATAATAAAAGTACTAAATATAAAAGTACATAATATAAAAGTACTTTTCCAGTTTATTTTTGTTTACCAATGTTTTGTACACGATAACTCTTTTGGTTTAATTCCAAGTTCCCTCTATTGCCATTGACAAAAGAACCAAATGCACTTGCTTTAACCAGAGTGTAGTGTTGAAAGAACATTAATTTGAGAACTGGATGACTATGTATGCAGCAGGATGGATCAACTCCACTGAGTTTAAGAGGATGATGAATGGTGCAACAAACAATGATGGACACGTACTCAAGTGGATTCATATTCCTAAATTTTGATTTAGAATGCAGCACATTACTGAGTTTGCTCAAGTGCCCACATTGTAACAATACAAATAACTTGAAATTGTTTGTGATAGGAATACTGTAGAAATCTCAGATAGTAAAACTTTTGACAGTAATGTCTTTTTTCATGCATGAAAATCAAACATGCTTTCCTATCTGTGGTGTTATAAAATGAATGACCAGCTCTGCCCTAAGCATACATATGTTAAACCTGCTGAATTGGTAAGTATTGCAGTTCAAAACATTCCTGCATCTCTTCTGGCATGCAAGCTATATGTATTTCTGGCTCTACCTTCCTGTTGTTAGTTCTAATGACTTTTCTCCATGAGAGTGGACACAGTTGATGTAAAATGATTAGATAGTCATAAAAATTGCTGATTTCTAGCAATTCCTGGTCTGCAATGACCCACTCTCCCAGCTTCAAATGCTCTGCTAATGGCATCTAGAAAATAAAAATCAAAAAAATAAGCCTAGCAGAGATTAAGGCTGCCCTTTATGGGTTTTATTGTTGTGTTTTTCTTCCAGGAAAAATATTAAATCTCCTCTCAAGAGAGATGTCACAGTAAAAATTTCTTTGCTAGAATGACATTCCTTCCTTTGGTCTTTACTTCTGAGGCCCTTCAACCTCACACAGTATCTTGTCACAGAAGGAGCCAAGGAGTTCTTCTTTCTGTAAGTTTGAATTCACACCTTTTGACTGGCATACAAAGACTTGAAATCATTGAGTGGATGAAATTCTTTCCTTTCTTACTATGGTGCCTGCATGAAAAGGACTAGATCAGCATTACCCTAGTGGAGACTCTCAGTTTATTTCCATATTATTCCTTCCTTCTTTATTTTTCTGAAACTTCACTCTTGCCTGGCAGTTTCTAGTCATGCTTTGGCTTCAGCTCCTGAAAATTTCATTCTTTATATGAGTGTCTAAACTCATAGCAATTCAAAAATCATTAGCCAGTGCCAAGAAATAGAGGAATGCATACATCCAGATCATGTTACCAGTTAGTAACTCTGGCAGCTTCTGAGCCACCTCTTGGTGTCCATCCTGGATAGCAGAGTATTTGTAGAAGGCGGAAAAAGCTGTTTTTCTTATTCACATTACATGCACCCTTGTTCTTGGACTCAGGATAGCCATCTAATGAGTGTCTAACTCATGCAGAATGCAGTTCCACACTGTGAAATAGGTACCCCTAAAAGGGCAGTATGCAACCAAAAAAGCCCCACAGTTGAAATGCTGTTTCTTATAGACATTAGAGATTATGTCTATAAGGTAAGAAAGGAAGAAAGGTACAGCTTAGAGAATACTGACCAAAGCATAACTTGAACTGGTCTCATATAATAAAACATTGTTTCTACCATGGAATGAAATGCTGAAGAGAATGCAGTAAGGAAACATAATGCAAAGCTGAAGAGAATGCAGTAAGGAAACATAATGCTTCCAGCCAAGGGCAGAACTGGAGAATTTTCATCATTATAAACATAGCAGGTGACAGACATCTCCTTGAGACAGCTTGCATCATTCAAATAACTAATTTATGAGGGTTTAAAATAAGATGCTGTCTTATATAATCAGTTATTAAAATGTCACTTCTCATATGTAAGTTTTTGTTTGCTTTTACTAAAACAACACTTGCATATATTTACCTGAATCATCTACTCTCAGCTTTTTAGTGGGATTGTCACCACTGTCATCATCGGACATTTCCATCTCCTCTTCCCGGCGGATTCCCATGAGCTGTTCACTGTGAGCATTTCGGAGCTCCTAAAAGCCAAAATTACCTTTTGTCAGTATTAACTTTCATAAAGTTATTATGCATTATTTAGTACCTGTTTTAAATACTGATCTGATTTTAATTATACATAGTTTATGATTGTAATCATATTTATTTGTGTATGAATATTTATAAAAACAGAAGCACAGGGAATTATTCCTGTGAAAGAACTGAGTTTATCAAAGGTAACAGGGAAAACAAGACAAAGAATGACTTTCCCTGTTTAGTGATCTTTAGGCCTGCTAAACATAGGAAGAATGTTTTAACAGCAGGGATAATACTTAAAACTGGTGTATAAAGCAGACTGATAAAGAGCCTGTCAGCTTGCTTAAGGGCTAGTTAATTCTTGCTTCCCTCTGCCACTTGGGGTATGATTCATTTGGCCAAATGTAGGTGTCTCCAACACACAAAGTTGTATTAGCTAAAAGGCACCCTTAAAGTGCCTCGTTCTCTCTGCTGGTTGCAAAGGGAGCGGAGCACAGACAGTGCAGATGAAGAGCTGTGTATTTATTTGTCAAAGGAATCTCACCCTCTGTCCCTATGCCCAGATTGCCTTGGATTTAAAAGACCCAGTCCCACAATGCTGGCCTGCAAATCCTTGCATCTTGATCCAGAAGCAGTGGCAGCAGGGACAGCTCGGTCTCTGGGTGACCGCTGCAAGGGCAGGCAGGCAGCCCCTGCACATGTCACCAGGAAGAGGATCAGCAGGCACGCGGGCTTTGCAGCAGTCTAGACGGTCTTTGTTCTGGGCAGAAAAGCTGGCGCGGGCGTAGCGGCTGCCTTTTTAATGGCAGCACTGGGAAGATTGAGAGGACTCTATTTTGTCCTAATAATCCTGTCAGGTGTAACATGGGGATGCTGCACTGTGATTAGTGTAGGCTTTGTCCACCCGCAGACAGCTAATTTTTCTGCCAACAAAGAGCTTAATTCCCAAAGAGGTGGTTTGAAATCTTTGAAACAAGGGAGAGTCGTGTGGAAGGAGGAGACAGCATTGAGGAGTCCGACAACAGCTCTGTGCAATTAACAATAATCTGTCAGAGAGGGGCTGCGTGAAAAAAAGGGAAGGCGTTTCTCTTCAGCTGTACTCTTGGTTTATCAGCAGATCTCAAATATTCTGAAAAATGTATCTGTGCTCATTAATCCCAGCAAAGGCAAGGAACCTAATTAGTGGGTGTTTTACAGGGGAATAATTTCAAATTAAAAAAAAAAAATTAAAAGGCCAAATTGTCAAACCAGAAGCATCTCTGGAAGAACCTGGCAAGCCATTTCTGAATTCCTTAGTGGAAAAGGCCCCCTGCAAATTTTCCTGGGGAAGGATACTGCATATATGAGCAGACATCCTCTTACATTTACTCCCTCATTAGTGGACAAATGTTCTTGATGTATCAGTGTCTACATTATCAGCAGAGTCAATGATTTTCTATGGAGAAGGTCTATGTGATGAGTCTTTTCTTTGCCTTGGGTTTCTAGCAAAGCTTTTCTAAATTCAGGAAAAAACTGGAAGGTGATCAAGTAATTAAGCAAATCAGCAGATAATATCATGGTTAGAAGATACAATTTAAATAAAATATACTATTTGGTTTATTTACATCACATTTCATATCTGAAAAACAGGCATTTCCAAAATACATGGATTTAGCTAGATGCTTTACATAATTTTGAATTGTTTTAAGCTGTTGTCCTCTTAAAATCAAAAGGCAGTAATTTTTGAAAAAAATGAGTAGAGAATTAACATTTCTGGAAAGTCCAACTCTTACACATTTCAGTTTATTAAGTATTTAGAAACCAGCAAATGAATGACACACCACATCCCTTTACAGAAAGTTAGTTTAAGAAGGGATGATCTTAATATAATTAAAATAATCTACTAGCAAATAATATTTTTATATTTCTCTAAAATATAAGACAAAGATCAATCCCCAACTTCCCAACTTTCGATTGAACAAAGACATTATCCACTATGTATATGAAATATTTGTGAACAAAATGCAAAATACAGTTCATACTAATAAATTATGCTAACATTTTATTTTAAGTGTCCCATTATTGAAGTAGTTTTGTATTCACCATAATAGCACTGATAATAAAGTATTCATTTGGTATTCACGTAGATGTTACATTTAGTGCCATTGGTATTCAACTGTAATTTAGCATTAGTTAATGGACACTTAAAATGTTATCCAAATGATTTATATCACAGTACTTCAGTGTTTCTCATACTAAGTGTACAACACTTATTTTACAAGTGTACTACAAAATAATTAAATAAGTGCACCTTACCTTCTAAAGTTTTTATTCTGAGACAGAGAAAAATCATTTAGAGGACTGTGATAGTAACAATCAACGTACTGTACCACATGGCAGTAAACCAAGTGTATGTAAATTGCTCATATTAAAATTAAAAAAAAAAAGGAAGAGGAAAGAAAGAAAGAAAACAAAGACAGCGGTACTTACTTTTTAAAATACAGGCTCATAGCGTATATACTGAATTAAAATCGAAAGCTGGATGACCAAAACACAGGATGAGGTCTAGCACTTCCTTTGCTGCCACTCACAGCAAGGGGAGTTAGAATCCCATTTCCTCTGCTCATGCTTATGACAGTCACACATGCATGGTCCCACACTGCTAACTCTGTGTGGTTGTATGATTACATTTACACTGGTTTCTTTGCAAGCATAATACTTAGAATCAACACAAGAGATGTATCTACTTTTTCTAAGATAAACATAGAACAAATGGGAAGGAATAGGTCACAGTTAGGGACTTAATATTCTTAAGTCATTATTTAGGAAAGAAATTTTTTATTTTATTTTCACTCAAAGTCATCTTATAATGACCATAAGATGGCACAGTGAAAAAAAAAAATCTTTGCCACAGAATTCTTCTTTTAAAAACAGATCACGATGACTCCTAAATTCCTTATTTGAAAATATTGTTCCTAATTTCACTATGTCAGTTCATTATTTTAGATAGTAAACATAATCTTCTAACGATTTCCCAAATTTTGCATGAAAAATAAAAACACATTGCTCCCTGTCTTCATGTTATTTAATGGCTATTACCATAATGAGAGCAATGGGAGCAATTCATACTGTAGATGAGACTGCAAACGGCCAGTTGATTAACAGCTAAAATGGTAGCTGTAAATATTGCCAAATACACTATGTCCAGCTACAATCACACTCGTTCTGTGTCAATCCAGCTGTGAGATGATGGATAGAAAGTAAAAATAAAATCACCAACCTCAGAATGCTTTCGCCAAATGTCTATGTTCTTTCGCTGGGCTTTCGAGAAATGGTCCCAAGCTTTTTGTCTGGTAGAAGCGTTGAAAACGGCGACAATCTGCTCAACTTTGGTGAACAAGGAAGTCAAACAAGACAAGCAATTTATGTTGTGATCACTATAGAGAAGCAAAGCAAAGACACTAGGAGTCTATGGATGATGTCATTACTGAAACAACATCATCAATATCCATCCAATGACGTGTCTTTCGTACTTACATTGTATCAATGTTGGAGATGTCTCCCTTCAAGTCTGTCTCCATAACTTTAGTCTACACAACTCTTAACTATGCACCAAGAACCAGGCATGCAGCTGCTTCCCCGTGATGTCTGCTACCACTCCCTGTGCTGGCACACACATGGTGAGTGGCAATTGGTGTATGACCACAGAAATGACCCTCGAGACATCCACCTGACACATGTTTTCCTGTGGCAGCGGCGTACAGATGAGCGGGCTGCACGGAGAGAAGCGTGGAGGGCAGGAAGGCTCTGCTTTGAAGGGTGACTATCTGACTGATAGTGGGAACTTGTCAGCAGGTGGGAAGGGCTGAACCTCCCACCTGGAGGAGGCTAAACCTTCTACCTGCAGGTACATCAACATACACTCTGTGGCTGCAGCTGCTGCTTCTCCTCCACTCAGTATCAAAGGGCTCACCTGTGGTAAATCAGAGCCGTCTCCATGGCCTATGTATGGTTACTTACATGAACAGACACTTTTTTTCTTTCATACAAGGTGAAGAACAGATGTGAAATGGGCTTCCCTCTTTCAAATCAAATGAATTTGTTCTGAAGCCAAATGTCAATATTTCAATCAGTTTTCTAGGATAATTAAGATCCTCCAGTTTTAAGCTATTTGTTCATCTCAGTTGAGAAAGCTTTCCTCTCAACACGCCTTTCTTTTCACTTCAGTTGCAAGTAAAATTGTCCTTCCACAACAGTGACCTGCCTAGAAATGATTTGGCCAAGATGTAAGTCGCCTTGATCCCAGCACAATTAACTGAAGAAAACACTAATAAATCCAGATTTTTTACAAACAACCTTGGCTGTAATAATGAATGAGCAGCTGTGCCAACCTAAGAAGTCAAACTGAAAAATGCTTCAACTCTTTGACAAGGTTCTTTGCTATCTATCTTTTTAGATTCCTGGGTGGAAACAATGTCCTTCCTTTATCAAGTTGCAGCTTGCAGCACTTCTTACTCCTCTCACTGAAAAGTGGTGGCAGGAGTGCTATAACACCCTCTGCCCTGGTCCCTTATCTTGCTGATCTGGAGCTTCTCTCATTCTTCCCTTAAGTCAGAGATGTAGAGAATCTTACTATACATAGCAACCTATCCTTCCTAAAAGGGTGAGCTCACCTACTGAAGCAGTATCTTTCACCTCTAGGACAAAAAGTTAATCTCTCTCATTTGAGCGCATTTATTCTATTCTCTGGTTTTTTACCACTTTTGAAGGCTGCCTTCAGATTCCAGAAAATTACAATATTTTGAATAGAGTTTTTCTTTCAGGGATGATTAATTACCTTCTAAAGTCATAGAAAATAATTGTAGTTCATTTTCTTTTAAAATGAATACATATAGGTAGTTTACAATAAAGAAAGTCTTTCAAACCTACTGTGATGATCTTATCCATTTGTAATCCATTCAACTTTTAAAGGTAGGTGTGATAATTTCAGCCCATTAGAACTTGCTTAGACTAAAGAGTCTAAGCATCAAGGAAGTAATGCTGTGTATATTTTTTCAATTAATTTGAAAAGAATGAAAATGGTAAAGCACTTGATTATTATGTGTATAGAAATTGAGGCTAGAATTTAATTACTGTCATTCTGTTGATGACCCAGGTGCTCAGAAAATTTTGCTTAATTAACAATCTGTTTTCAGTTTGCAAGTGGTAATTCAAGTAGAAAAGATTCACAAAGATATGAGGAAGAGCTGGTTTGCCATTTTCCACTAATAAGTATTAATAAGATCATCTGAATTTTGAAAAACATTTGAACTTTAAAGTGTTTAATTTCCATTATGTGAACAGGTGCTAAGATTTATCAAAAGTCATTATCTGATCATTTCAGAAACTTTTCTCAATGGAAAGACAAGCTAGGAAGATGCCATAGCTTCTTCTTGTATAACTGCAGTAGACAAAGTGAATACTAAAAGGATCTTCTTCACTTACCTAACTTTTTGGAATTAAAAAAGTGACAAGAGGTAGGATAGTATCAGTATGACATGCTAAAAATCAAACCATTTAAAGAAACTTTATGAAACAGGTAGGAAGGGATAATAAAAAGGAAGATGCAGAGGACAGTACTAAATGAGTATGTATCAAGGACCAACATACCAGTGCTCTGTTCAAACAAAGTGTCAATGTATGTACAGCAATTTCAATATTCACAGCAATCTAGGCTATGAAGCTTTGCAAATTCCACCATAAAAGGTCTCCAAGAATTACATTAGAGCTAAACAGCAGCCAAGGTCATGGTACAGGGAAGTGCCTCCACATCTTTTTGTACTGCACCAAAATCCTGCATTCCTGTGCCATGAGATGGCAATTCAATGTAAACCTGCACTGCCACATTTTTTCTTGTTGCACCAAGACTCATTTGTTTTCCCATAGGTACTCTGGAAGCCTAAAGCTGGCATAATGCTTGTGCTCTGTGAAATTTGGAAGACAAGACATGATGTACCCACTCCTGATCAGGATCAAATTTGTATGGGTAAGTGATCCAGCAGCACACAGCCCATAGGGATGGTAGATTCACCCCTAAGGAGAAGTCATGAAAGGTTTATATTAGCTGAGAAGCTCCCCAGCTAACTCATTTTTTGTCTGTGTCTGAGTAAAACGTGGCCAAAGAGAGGTCCCAGATTTTGGGCTGACATCTTCATAATCTGAGTCTCACTACTGACCATGGTTTTCAGATTATTTCTGATCTCCAGGAAGAAATTTCCAAAACTATATAACAGGTCATATCTATCTCCCCAAGGCACCTTGAACTCCAGAATGCACTGTAGTGTCAACTGTGACTGGTAAGTAGAATTATTAAGTAACATGAAATATTCATTGTCAAACATCTGTTAGTGAGTTCTATGCTATATCAAATTTTCATTGACCATATGCAAAGCTATTTCCTTACTAAATTAGGATTTAAAAAACCACATTGTTCTGGAAGGGTCCATAACATGTCATGTTTTTCCCATCAATATGGCTTACAGGATATAAGTAATTGCATCTTTCCTAATGACTTATTCTGTGGCTGCTAATTTACATGGCATGTTTCTGACAAAGGATTATTATCTAATTGTTTTTCTGCTGTGTTCTAAGTAGCTAGAAAGACCCAAATAACTAAGCCTAGAGTGATATGCTAGTGCAATACACTTTATTAGAGGTGCCACCTCATAGTAAGTATATGAATAGGAAGTTTAAGGCTCAGTTTCTGCTGCCACAAACTATGCTACCTGGAAAAAGTATTTCTATCAAGTATAAATGTAAAAGCAACAAGAAAAACTAGGAAAAACAGCAAAAATCCCTTAAACAATGCCTGCAGAAGTTGCATAGAAGATTGTATGAAATGGAAAACTAGAATATCTCCTGGGCAAGAAAATATTTGATACAGGATATTTGAAAATTGTACTACCAAAGAAAAGCAGAAATAAATGAGAACCAAAGTGTAGCCTCATCTGCAGATTAAGAGGTAGAGAGAATATTTTTACCCTGCATTACATTTATCAAGCAGTCAATTTTAAATACATGATTGAGTGTCAGCTGAAATTTATTTCTGGGTTCAGGAGTTAAGAAGTACTCAATTTTTCCTTTGCTTATTACATTATAAGCTGCCATGCATATTATTTTATACTATATATTATGATATACATAATTTATAATAGAAAAAGAAGCAAAATAGAAACAAAAAAAATGTGTTAGAATAAAAACAAAAGTCTTGGATGGCAGATAAAATAATTGGATTTCATGTAGAATTTTACTCCAAATTCCACCAATTAAGGACGCAGGATGAAAAGGGCTTTGCACTAAATTACTGCAAGTGTCAGAGTAGAATATATAGCAATTTAGCACAGAAAAATTCTGTAAGAGTGTGACAGTTGACATGAAGGGTAAAAGAAAAATTCAACCCATAAAATTACAGTGTAAAGGAAACTGTTACAGTAAATGTATAACACGCTTTTCAAATATAGAGTCGCAGCACAGGGAGGATATAGAGTTGGCGTGGTTTGGGTCAGAAGCCCTGTTGCTGAATTCTGACTAAGCTGCAGTCTGCCAATCGATTTGGCTCCAAGCCCAGCAAACCAAGGAATTACAGTAGTCAAGGCTAGATGCTGTAGTGAATGAATTAGAGTCCCCAGGTCAGTTTTGGATAGGGAAGAGAATATTTTTGGCAACAGTCCTGAAAGGCATTTGGTAATGAGCTGAACATAACTTAGCATTAAGTCCAAGGATAAAACTGTGCATAGGTAAATGACATGTGACATGGGTAAGAGAAATGGTAGACAGATTGCAGAGTAATGAAACATGTATTATTTTAATTAATTTGAGCCACTCATTCTTTTGGTTATGGTACTGCTTACTTTCAAAAAAGAATTTGCCTTTCTCACTTTTAGAGTTGGAAACCTGCAGCCTCTCCCTGTTACTCAATTCACATGCCACAGACGGAGAAACAGATGTGATTGCCTTTGACTAGCAGAGGAAAACATAAGAGTTGGAAATATCACCCTGGGGAAGACTGCAGATAATGGAAGGGATGGGTCCTAAAGTAAAGCATAACGTAGCTGGATACAGAAGCAAAGGCCATTATAGACTTGTATAAAGAAGATGCAGGTTTTGACAGCTGTGCAAAATACCTCATCTGCCACTCCACTTTGATTTTCGCTTTGTTGGGGTTTTGTGTTTGGCTGTGCTTTTTAAAAAACTTTTTAAAATTCACAATTATCTGCAACCCCATCAGAGAAATTTGGTCTGCGTGCTGCCCAGATGCCTGTAGATTTCATGAGACATAGTGTTAAGACATAGCATGATCAAGGAGAAAACCATAGGACTTCACTGTTACATCCCCAAATTCCACCTTT